AATGGTGAATGCAGAGATAGTTCCCAGCACACACAGTAAGTATGCACACCAAACCAGTTCAGCAGGTCAGAGAATGCAGCCCTGCTACCCTGAGGCTGCACCTCCAGCCGCAGACACCGGGGCACCTATCTCTCTTCCTAGACTTCTTTGTTTTTCTCTTACTAGTCAGAAAGAAACAGCTTTGTTTCTTAGAGCACTCCAGGAGAAGCTCTCTGTGGCTTTCAGAGGACTTCTCATGGGAAGGGATGTTTAACTCAAGGTCTTAGAAGTGGCTGTGCTTAAATGCCATGTGGTTTCGCAGAAAGCCAAGACTGGGAGGTCCAGTCCCATCATAGCCTGAGTCCAATACATTATTTTCCAGATCATAAACACAAAGTCTACAATGTGTCACCATTGAAAATACTCCGAAAATTGGCTTTCATTATGGATTTAGAAAATAAACAGCTCTAGAAAATAATGCTGGAATTCATCAATAAAATTACAGGCTCTGGTTGTATACAATGGAGACTGTGATTCTGGTAAAGTTTCTGGGAAAACAAGGACACTTTTTCTCAGTTTCATGGGGTTTCTGTCTCCTACTCCGCACAGCACATACACGGGACTCTGTGTCTTCCCAGTTCTCCCTTGCCTGACAGTGTTAGAGTTCCATAGCACTTTTGGCTTTCCCCTGCAAGCCAATTCTCCTCTAGTGTGTTGGCAACCACTCCTTCTGCTGTCTGCTCGCCAGAGCTGCACTGTCTTCCATAGGGCCTAGCCAATTCCTCCTGACTCAGAACAGTGTTTTGGCTTGTCTTTTCTTCCCTGCTGATCCCAATGCTTTTGTAGACTGTAAATAATTGTTTCCTAGAACTACAGAACAAGAAGGAACTGAGGCAGGGAGGAGAACTGGTACCCCAAACTTCCACAGGACCCACACTGCTGCGAAGCGAGGAACTGGTGAAATCAGTATCTGTAGAAGGGCACAGATATTGCTCTTGATGTGTCTTGAAGACATTGTGTGTGCTCAAAACTAGGCAATGTTTTACTCAGCCATCTCTGGGGTGAATTAACATGCTGTGCCCTTTAAAGGGAGACTTGGAAACGTCTACCTAAGGATAAAGTCTGAGAAACAACTTAGGAAAGAAAGAAGTTTACAAGGGCTGAGTTCAGAGGAAGGCGTGATCAAGAGAGGCCCAGAAACTTGGTGATCACACATCCTTTGTCTTCTTCACAGTTTTTCTTGAAGTTTTCTTGGTAGCAAGATATGTGGAGAGGCAGAAATTCTAAGTCACCCATGGAGGAAAAGATAACAGGGAATCCTGGACTACAACAGCTTTCAGGGACTCGGGAAGGGAGCTGCACCTTGTCCAGTCACCTGAAAAATGGCTCCTACCTGCACTGCAGAGCAACGGGCAGACCTACAGGGTTATGCACAATGTGCTAGAATTGGTTTTTCCCTTCCTCAGCAAGTGGCAAGGCGTAGAGAGCACATGCCTGTTCTTTATGACCCACTATTTATGTATGCTATTCATAGTGGGTACTTTGTCTTAACCTACGCAAGTCACACTTGAACCTGGAAATATGATGAACTTCTATCAAAAAATTCTTATTTTAAATTCTCTGTCTAGTCACTCTGACATGGAGACTCAAAAGAAATTGCTTTTCCTTTTTGGAAACATAATTAAAATCCTTTTATATTAAACTGGACATAGAAATAGATTAACTTAACTATAAAAGACCAGTTTCCCATGCTGTTGACATATGAAAGTCCAGTATTCCATGCTGTTGAACTACGAGAGATCAATAGTGCCTGAGCTTCAGTAAGAAGAACATGTACAACCAGGTGCTTGACTATGTCAAATGTGTATGTATGTGATTTTACATGTGATAGATATATGTATGTATATGATTTGAACATGTGGTATATATGTATGTATGCACACACATATGTGTACTATATACACATTATTTTATAGATATACTATTTTGTGCATATATATAAAGTAATATATATATATATATATCAGTACTATTTTATATATATACACATACACACACAATACCAGCAAAATGAAGACTCTGCTATATCTATGGCTAACCCTTGACACAGGCTACTTTGTGCTGCCCTAATAAAATGAGATAGGCTGGGAATTTGTAATCAGCGCCATTTTACTTTCAGAATTCTGAAGAATAGAAAGTCCATGATCTGTCAGCATCTGCCAGGGAAGTTCTTGCTGCATCTTCTCATGGCAGAATGTAGAAGGGCAACAGAACAGCAACTGTTCACGTCTGCCTTGCCTAGAGCTGTATGAACCTATGCAAGAGAGCAGAAAGCTCATGACACTGATACCTCCCAACAGGGGCTGTCTTCTGTCACAGATACATTATGACCAACACATTTTGGCCATATATTTATAACATAATGCCCCCCAATTTCTGCCTAGAGATGGCCCAGCATATCAAATGTCTGCATAAACATCTTTAGAAAATCATTGCTGAAAGGCACATGAAAGGCTCCAGTAATAAGTAAATAAGATTCCCAAAGACAAACATTTGTCCTTCAGCTAAGAATTTCATGTATGAAGAACAATATCTGAACATAGTAGTTCATGTATGAAGAACAATATCTGAACATAGTATTTCAAATTTTAAAAAACACCCATTTTCAAGTAACTTCAGAGTTTTAATTTTTCCTTCTTTTGTTCTCTTTCTTTCTTTTGAAACTGGGTGTCACACCATAACTTAGGCTATCTCGGTACGCACTTTGTAGTACTGGCTAGTGTAAACTCTTGGCACACCTCCTACCTCATCTCCCTAGGGCTAGGGTTACAAATGTGAGTCACCCTGACCAGCTCAGAATAGTCTTAAAAATATATGCTGTTAAGTAAAAGACAAAATCAATCTTTTAAAATACTTTATTTCATTCATTTTGATCATTTTTGAAATCCAGTTTCAGATATAGGACTGGGTAGGAAATTGACAACACAGCAATATTAGTATATTATATAAAGGAAGATTTTGGGTTGTATTGATTGTTTAGGTAGTAAGCGAACTTATCAAAACACCTTATCTTTATACACATAAATAAAAAGAGACATGGACCTGACATTAATTTTCTTTATATTATAAATAATCTAGAAATTGTGTAAAACCACTGACTTCCTTTGTTTCCCCAAATCTCTCAATAGTTTCTGTTTATTTTAATGTGACACAGACTGAAATGACAGCATGCCAACACTCCAAAAACCGCAGGTCTGAACTGGGTAGACCTGCCAAGGTGACCTCTGAACAGCCTGTATACGTATAACAGGGGAAGGGGAAAGACTGTCAGAAACACAGCATGAAAGCGTGAGAAAAAAGGGGACAGCAGCAAGCAGCCCCCATTCCCATGCTAGGACGCAGACACGAGGATGCTCTCTCCACACACTGAGATGGTCACTCTGTGGGAGAGGTTTGTTTCCTCTTACATTTATCTTCAACTGTGGCCTGCACCAGCATAACCTACAAGGGACTATCAGACGCCAGCAGTCATATATACATTTTCTTCAGAGAATCAATTTATGAAATGTTCTTACAATTACAATGTTCTAGGTGCCTCTCTCATACTTTTCCAAGGCATTCTACTACTTAAAGTTAAAATTAATTCAAATTAATTATTCACATAATCATTGTAAATGAAACTTTTTGGCAAATGAGCCTTTTAATTTTATTAGATTCATCACATATTTTTTATTAATTATAATTAAGAGGATTTTTTTTAATAATAGAATTTCCCACAGTTTTCCAAAAGGTATTTTAGACAAGAAATGGAGATTTAAAAATAAGATTCGGCAATTTTATAGCAACTATTGTGAAGATGAAGTAGCCAAAGGCTTCATCTGTGATTGGATGATCGACTTTGGTTACCAAACTGTCCTAAAGCATCTGGTTTTTGCTCACAACTATGCTATATTTCACAGATGTACATCTATCTTATTTTCTGAGGCAAGGTTTTTCTGTATAGCCCTGGCTATCCTTGTCCTAGAACTCTCTCTGTAGCCCAGGCTGGCCTCGAACTCACAGAGATCCACCTGCCTCTGTCTCCTGAGTGCTGGGATTAAAGGCTGCACCACCACCCTGGCCATTTGATGAATTCATTTGAATAAACAGTTCAATATTTTACAATTTTTTGGTGACAAAGTTTTTTTTATAATTTCAGAGGAATAACATAAACCAAAAGCAATTATCAAATACATTTAAAAAATATTTCCTGATGAAAATTTTATTTTATAAAGCTAGTAAGTAATTTTCCAGAGTAGAATAATAAAACATTGCAAAACATACTAGGAGAATATTTATTGATTTACTTTCTGAGAAAAGAGCTTCACACACACAATACATACAAACATAGATAGATAGATACATACATACATACATACATACATACAAATAAGGAAATGTGTGAGCCACCCTGTGTTTCCAACAATTAAGCCTGGCTGCCTACTCTAGTCAAAGTCAATAAAGCAAACCCTTCAAAGGGCAAAGGTATCTGATGAAGTAAGACCTGTAAAATAAACCACTCCTCCAGCTGATAAGCTGGCCCTCCGAGACTGCTTTCCTTCTTCTAAAGAGTGGAGTTACATTGATTACAAGGACACTTAACTTGTAAACCTAAGTGATAGCGATGACAGTGCCTGATTACAAACAAAACATCCACGTGTGCACACAAAAGTAACTATTCTGCCAGTGCTGGGGAGAGCACCCCTGAAAACCCACTGCAGCCCAATGCACCAAGTCTCCAGCTTCACAGGGATTATCAGGCATTATCTACTTTCTACTATTGTTAAAGGAGTGAGCGCGGCGACGACAATACCCATCTTCCACATTAGTAACATTCCCACCTCTCTCCCCAACCCGAAAATACCTCAAAACTCAGCGGTGGCAGCATGCGAGGAAGCACATGCGCGCGGAAACACGCACGCACAGAGCTAACACTGCTGAAGTTTCTGACTGAGAACATTTCAAAGGCTGTTGGCACTTACCTTGCATAGACAAGTTAGAAAAACCAGCTTCCTTCTCTCCCATTTTATTCTTTCTTTGTACAGGGGCCCAGCAGTTTCGGGTTGTGTCAGCTACCTTGCAAGCCTTGTGACCTTCTGACTTGCTACAGTAGTATTGTAACAGTACACTACCGGCTTTCTTCTGTGAATAATTACCATTCGGCTTCCTGAGTTACCTGGCCTTGCAGGACCTGTTTTACTATGAAGTGAGCTCACATGCTTTCTTCCAAAGTCCTGTTACTAAACTGCTTCACAACACATGGCTTTGTTCCAGTTTGGATATTGACTGTTTCCCTGAGTGTTGGCAGTATTATCAACATGGCATGTTTCAGAGGCAATGTTTCTGTTCTGTCTTTTTTTTTTTTTTTTTTGATTTCTGTTTAGTGTTCTTTCTCTGTTTTTCTTAGAGACATATAATAAAAATGTAAGCACTTTAAGCAGTATCTATTGTGTAATAGGGGAAAGAACTGCATCAGAATCTGTGTTGTACAGTTGAGTTAGGACATAAAATCGAGTAATATCTACATCAGGAAGCTAATGTCAAGATTACAAATAATGTGTGATCCCAGTAAATACAAAATGGTGGATAATAAAATGAGGGACTCTTTCCTCTTTCTTTCCCTCTTTCTCCTGGTTTTTTCCTCTCTCTCTCTCTCTCTCTCTCTCTCTCTCTCTCTCTCTCTCTCTCTCCTAGGTAGAGAGAATCACTACCTGCCATCTGACATCAGTTATGCTAAATATTTATTCATTATTTTTATTCACTTAAGAAATGGTTACACTAGCCAACAGGTGGTGGCGCAAGCCTTTAATTCCTGTACTGTGGGCTGAAAGGCAAAGGCAGGTGGATATCAGTGAGTTTGAGACCAACCTGGTCTACAGGGTGAGTTCCAGGACAGGCTTCAAAGCTACAGAGAAACCCTATCCCAAACAATCAAACAAACAAACAACAAACAGCAAACAAACTAAAAAAAGCAAAAAAAAAAAAAAAAAAAAAAAAAAAGGAAGACGTGATTATCCTCTGTGTAGCCCAACCAACCTGAACTTGGCGCATTTCTTGTTCTTTCTCCCAAGTTCTGGGATTTCAGCTATGCATCACTATACACAACTTAACAGGGAGATTTAAATAAATCATTTCAGACTGAGTAATTATGATGATTTGTACCTTCAATCCCAGCACTGGGATGGCAGAGGCAGATAGGTCTCTGTGAGTTTAAAGCCAGCCTGGTCCATGTAGCAAGTTCCAGGTCATCAAAAGTTATATTGTCAAATGTTGAAAAAAGAAAGCTAGTTCTTTTAGTCTTAAAGATCCAGTTCTTATTTGCATAGATTGCTGATATTCATGTATTTTTATAATAGAAAAACACAAAAAAATATATCATAGGAAAAAATACAAAAATATAATGGGAAAAATAATAGTATTATCTGACAGTAACTGGTGTACCTCAAGGAAACATAAGCACGAAGATGAGCCATAAACTAGAATTTTATCTTTAAATTTACAATTTGTAAATGACAGAAAAAAATTTTGATAAAATTACAAAGATTTATTTACCCCTCTTGAGTTCTTTGGCTGTTGGCTTTCACCAGAAAAACAAGAATATAGATACATATGACTCGGTTTCTTCCTTTAAAATCTCTTTTGCATTTACAAGTAATCTGTTCACTGTTTACAAGCTTAAGGCAAAGTCTGAGTTTATAACCAGTCTATATAAGCAACAGTAGTGATGAGAAATTTATTTTAAAAAGTAACAGAAACACAATATTTGTCAGAATTCAGTCTTTCTTTTTAAAAACAGGTTTTCTCTGTGTAACAGACCGACTTGTCCTGGAAATAACTCTGTAGACCAGAATGGCCTCAAACTCACACAGTGTTTCTTTTTGAAGATTTATTTCATTGATATTATGTGTATGTATGCATGTATGTATATATGCATGTATGTGCTTTTGCGTGTGAGCACATGAATGTGTCTACATAGACCAGACATTTCAGATAACCTGCAACTGGAGTTTTAGGCTGTTGTGAGCCATCTGTAGTGGGCACTAGAAACCAAATTCTGCTCCTCTTCCAGAGCAGTAGATTGTCTACACAGCTGGGCCTTCTCTCCAGCCCCATATTTCAATGTTCCGTATTGACTTTACCATATATAATGACTCATAAGGGAAAGCCAGGGCCTCTGGTTCTAGCCATCCAGGCTTGGGTGTGCTCCTGAGCATAGCATTCCTGCTGAGAACAGCGGCATGTCTTACCTTATATACCACGCTACAAACTTTACCAAAACAGACTGAAATTGAATGTTTACCAGGAGAATACTGCACTAATCATAGTCTGATTTCATGGTCATGGGAACAACATGAATTCTAATCTTCAGTCTTTTTAACAATGTTGGAAATGCATTGATTGACATTAGTGCTCCATGAGTCAGTAATAGGACAGAGTACCATTATGTGTGTTTTACAGCATGAAGTGGGTTACAGAGAAAGAATACAGTTCTACATTCTGTTCTTGTTACTGACCTGAGATAATAGCATAAAAATCATATCTGACACTACAAAATACCAAAAATACATGTTCAGTGACAGAGAAGCATTATCTCTTTCACAGCTTTGCACAATCATGAAAAACTTTTTATCAGGGAAATGACTGCTGTTGCTGCAAGTGATATATGTGGACATGTTCCTAGACACACGTGTATATTTTGCATGTTCTTGTGTGTGTGTAGGCAAGAAAGTATCTTGTCCAATAAATTTCTGGCATATTTTTTGAAGTAGAGACTCTGATTGGGGCAGAGAGCTTGTCCTGTCTCTGCCACCACCTTGCTGGGTTACAGGTGAAGGCAGAGCTCACCTCTGTATGCAGGTTCTGGAGATCTGGCTAGGATGTTCATGCTCACATGGCAGATACTGAGTCATCTCAATAGGACCTGGTTTGATTTTGAATAATCAAAATGTTTTCTACAAGCCTAGAAAATGCATTTATCTACTGTTTACCTGAGTAACTTATTGGCAAAAATTTTTCTGGAGTCTCCGCTTTGTGACACCCTACACATCCTTTCCTGATGCTAAGGGTCTCTTTCATCCTTGTCACACTGCATTGTCACACATACTTTTAACATTGCATACCTGCTCTGCACACACTTAGCATGCCTTCATCAAGCGCTGTAGAAATTGCCTCTAAGCTTCGTTTGAAGCCAAAGAAAACTGACAATTATAAAAACTTTCAAGAAAATTTTCTTACTCTTGAAATGCTCTGAATCAATGTGCTCTGCACAATTTTTCATAACTGTAGAAATTTAGTTATGAAATTTAGTTAGTTTCATAACTGTAAAATTTAGATGCCAAAGTTAAATGAAAGTGTCTAACCACATCCTTTAATCCCAAAATGAAATCCAAAAAGTTGGAAAAAAAGAATAGAATCACTCTTATGTTGCATTCCGACTACTCATACTGGAGAAATCAGTGTTACAGGATAAACTAGCATGAAGTCAAATACGGGAGCACCTGTGTTTCTGGCTCTGATTTTGAAGGAAGGCATATGTTAGAATGTGAAAATTCTCAAGTGAGTCATGGGATGTAAGACACCAGCTATGTCAAATGTTATATGAACCTGATAATTCAATATACCTACCAATTTTGTCAATAGAGAATAAATGATTTCATCAATACAGAATAAAAGAGATAAATTTGAATGTTATGGAGAGGAAGGGAGAGAAAATGATTAGAACCCTTGAATCAAGAATCTTTTGAGCCTAAATTACAACAGAACAAAGTATGTGATCCAGGGATTAGATCAGATTTGACAAACGCCTAAAGAGCCAGGAAGAGTCTACCCTCAGTCATGAGGATGAAGTGTTGGCTGTCCATCCAAGGACTGAGAAGCATGCTCTTCTTCGAGTTATATGTCCTGAAGTATTTGTTTCACAAATATTAAAGCAAACAGATAACGCTACTGTCTAGGGCTACTCCAGTTGCTTAAGCTGTTTCCCTCTGTTGTCGCCTATGAAGGGATGGAGGAACAGTCCATTGGAATAATTACACGAGTTAATATTTAAGTGTCAAATATGATGACAGGCTAATTTCAGATCTTGCTGTTTCTTCTTTTTTGTTTTGTTTTGTTTTGTTTTGTTTTTCAAGACAGGGTTTCTCTGTGCAGCTTTGGTGCCTGTTCTGGAATTAGCTCTTGTAGACCAGGCTGGCTGAGATCCACCTGCCTCTACCTCTCAAGTGCTGGGATTAAAGGTGTGTGCCACCACCACCTGGCTCATGCTGTTTCTTAAAGTCTTTACAATTACCGAAAATGTTACAAACATTTTCAAATGTTGGAAATTAATAATATAAAAAATTATCTGGATTAAAATGTCTTTAATTTCTGTTTTTCTTTATTTGTCAAAATAAATCCATCAACAGTATAAAAATATTGAAATTTAAAGATTGTAGAAGAAGGAGCAGAAAGAACAGAAGAGCCAGAGGATGAGGAATAGGGCTGTGGTATGTCCTCTGCTGACTATGACCCCAGTGCTGCTGCTATGGTCCTAAGCAGCCCTCGCTGCCTGCAATGGGTCTAAGTAAGCTGGCCCTTTCAACTGTCATTCATCAGTTAGGACTCTAGCCGTCTGCTGAATCATAGCTACTAACTGATAATAAAGGAGGGGCAGCCTTTATTTTTGGCTGTGTACCCAGCAGGCTCCATCGGCTGAGTGCCAGCTCTTGGTGACACCGATAACACTGATTAAATCCAGCAAACCCCAACACAATACTCGAAGGTATGATGGCAAGAGATGGCATAGAGGGTGAGATGAGAGTAGGTGGGAGCTACTGGATCAGAATTGATTATGTACACGTGGGAAATGTTCAAAGAATAAATTCCACTACTGTCACTTTAAAAGAAGTCAGGGCACCACTTAAAACCAAATATTTCATCATCTATCTTTCTTGAATAAAGTTTTTTTGTTTGTTTTTCATGGAAGTTGAACTTTTTGTTAGGTGTTTGTAATTAAAATCTTTTTTTTTCATGTTGGGGCCCAATAAGATGGCACAATTTCCAGCTGGGCCTAATGACGTCATTTGCATATTGGATATCTGGAACTCACAGTAGAAGGAGAAAACTGACTCCTGAATAGTTTACATCTGATATTCACACACATGTACACATACACACACATGCACACACATACACACACACCACTGTCATAAAATAGATGCTAGTTTGCTTTGTCTGTTCTATA